GAGTTGTGGTGAGTAGATGCCATCTTGAATTCTGAAGTCACACTTTCTGACAATTCCCAATGTAGTTCCCGTTTGAATTTACAGCTTGTAAGTGGGAAATTCCCACTTCCCAAATCAACCGGGTCACAGCCAAAATAGCTGGCAAAAATGCAATATAATGGATATTTTACATGTCAAATTTTACCAGCTGCTTTCAAACCCTGTGCTCCTCCACCTAGTGGTGTGATGCTATCATTTTGTGAATAAAATAATCAACATACGTTATGGAAGATGTGTTTTATGGTCAGTGCTGGCTTTAAAGAAGGATATGCTTATTTTAAGACAATATTACATCTTTGAAATTTTTGTGGGTCACATTTGGTCTACGGGCCTTGAATTTGACACGTCGTAGTTGGCTTTGCACACAACCAATATCATTTTGGTCCCTAGAAACACAAACAATAGACTTGTTTTAATGGGGGTTGATTTCTCTGTTTCACTTTATTCCAATCCTGTCACCATTAAACTGACTGCCAAACTACAGCCAAAAACTGACAAAACTGTAAAAAGCAGCCCTCCAAAAAACAGCCACAGCTTGGTTTAAAACTATCCAGATAGGTTTAGAGAGGCCTAAATGACTCAGAGGCTTTATACAAGAACACAATTACAAATGTGACAAATATTTGAAGTTTTGAAAGAAAAAGCAGTACCCCATCCATCTTTGGTGGTTTTCTCTAGCCTGGTTTAAACCAGACCCTGTCCTTCACTTTGCTTCGTACAGAGGGTCTGGACTTGCTGCATTGAGAAGCGATTCTTGCAGGAGGCGTGGCCTCTGCAGAAGCGTGTGTGTGTTGTCGCTGTGAAGGAGGCTAAGCTAAGAAGCTAACAGGAAATCATGTGTGCTGTAAACAACCCTACTGAGAGGAGAGAAGTACAGAGCCGAACGAGACGACCGTAAATGAGAGCTGCTGCTTTGTCAGACAAATTTAATTTAATTTGGAAGCCTTATCAACACAGACTGGCTTCATTCACTTCCTCCACTGCCGTATGCTAAAATAACTAGCAGACACTGCGCAGAAAATCAACGTCATTCCAAACCCTGCCTTCTGTTCTCTGATTGGCCCAGGTAAAATAAACTACAAGCAGACACTGCGCAGAAAATTGACGTTCTGTTCTCTGATTGGCCCAGGTAAAATAAACTACAAGCAGACACTGCGCAGAAAATTGACATTCTGCTCTTTGATTGGCCCGGCTAAAAATCTGCCAGTGAAATCCTTTTCTATGGGAGAAATCCCAGACGGAGCAGTGAAGGGAAACTAGAATTGAGCGGAGCTGCGTAGGAAGGCAAGGGCCAGGCTAGGTATTCTCATAAAGCTTTTTTTTAAAACCCCATAGCATTTTTTGTCTTGCATCCTTTTCTATTCATTTTGCTTCCTCTCTGCTTCCTCTCTGGAAAGATCTTGAGGAATAAGAAAGATGTTTCACAATAATCATATATTTTCCTGTTTAGTTGTTTTTTCTAAATCTTGTTTTGTTTGTTTCACAGATAGATACATTACTTAACGGTACATATTTATAGCTGTTCGAAATAAGCTAATCTCATGCTGAGATTAGCTGAATCTGCAACCTGGTCACGTTGCTGTCCTTACAGGACGTGTTTGGGTGTGCTAATGACTGATAATACCTTTATTTATTGTTTTTCTTGGTGGATACTTAGTATAGAGTCTTACACACACACACACACACACACACACACACACACACACACACACACACACACACAC